TAGATGATGATAAATAAAATAGTTATGTATAATATATTAAATTTCTGACTGTATATCCCTGTAATTATTACACACTGTAGCTTTAATGCTTTATTTCATTAACACATATGACTATATGTATTACTTTACAGTCTATTTTTTGTGTTTGCTCATATAGTTAACATTGTGCTTCTACAGTAATAAGTGTTAATTTTGCCACTGTATAATATCCATTTAAATATTGTTGAGTCTGAGCTGTAAAGCTGTTTTTTTTATTTTAAATGAGAACACTGAAAAAAGTGACTTTGTGGTGCAGTAAACGCTATTATATTCATCATTATTTCTAGTTTGTATTTTTAAGCTGCAGTAAAAAATAGAGTTTCTGAAGTAAAATTAAACCTTTTTTTTATGTAATACATGAATTTGTGGGAAAGAGTAAGTCTTACTTAGATTTCCTTGTACTATTTAAATGTTCAATAGCAGTTTGTACATCAACCTATAATTATTACATAAGCTTTACTCTAAAAATGTAGCGTTTTGAATACCACGCACAGTGCATGTGCATAGTAGCTCACAGCAGGACTGATTATGCTCTGAGTCCAGACGTTACAGGATCACACACAGAGCAAGAGGTAGTCCCAATGGCAGTCATTTTGCAGGGTGCAACAGCACTGCAAAAGCCTGCACGCTGCTCATGGGACTGATATATGCCCTGAAGTTGGCATACCCTCCTACTTTGCGCTACACTTTTGAAGTTTTCCATAAACTTTCGCTGAAGTTGGATGGATTTAAACTGTTCCCAAAAAGTAAACACCCTGAAGTTGAAGTTGCTATCCTAAACAGAGTCATGATTTTGTCATCTTAGGGTATGAAAATGTGGCATCAAATGCCAAGAATTAGCTGTGCGTTCTTGTTAAAATTGGTGGAAGGTTGCATGTCATTAATGTTTTTTATTTTTTGTCCAAAAAGGTATATGTTATTTTGCAAAAAATAAAATGTACCTTTATTCAAATATCTAGATTTTATTTTTCATTGAAATTGGTTACAATTTAAGCTGTTAATTTTTAATTGTGTTGATTTTCTTTCATTAATGTTGTAATTGTATTCTTAAAAGTCCACTAGTCTGGGCGAATGGTTTAGATTTTGAAATTGCACTTTTTCAGTGTGTAGGTTTGTAAGAATTTTATCGCATATTTGAGTATTGACTATATCACCATATTAACCTGTGTTGGATGTTTGTTTTTTACAAGTCATATCAGCCTTATCTTTTTTCTGTACAAATTCTAATGCAGTACAACATAATGCACTAATATTAATGCTGTATTTGTACAGGCTTTTTTCCATTTAAATAGAGGCATACATAATCTTTACACCACCGCTCAAAGTTTAAGTGGCTTTTCCGGTAAGAACCTCGACCAGTAGTTGTTTTGGCATGTTTGTATAAATTAGATATCATTAGTCTTCCATATGAGTATATTTCTATAACGAACGTTGGATCTCTCAGTTTCAGAGGGTTGTAAATTTTTATTGCATATTTGAAAAGTATAATTGCAGTTAAAAAGCTGCTCAGTGGAGCAGTGGGTAGCACTGCCACCTTGCAGCAAGAAGGTTCTGGGTTTGATTCCTGGTCTGGGGTCTTTCTGCATGGAGTTTGAATGGTCTCCTTGTGCATGCATGGGTTTTGTCTGGGTACTCTGGCTTCCTCCCACAGTCCAAAAACATGATTGTTAGGTGAATCCTTAGGTGTGAATGATTGTTTGTCTCTGTGTTGCCTTATTATTTTGAGTGAAGTGCTGTTTGCGCCTATGAAAAACAAGTACACTTTACTTAATTTGCTTAAATAAATCTAACTTACAACTTGGAAGTAATTAAGTAAATGTTACTTAATATCTTTGCAACTGTTACCGGTATGTCTTATGGAAAGTAAAATTCACTTGATACTGGCAAGGGAGTGTTACTTAATATTACAGCATTAAGTAAATCAGTAAATCTTTTTACTTGCTTTTTGTTGCTTTTTTCAGCAAACCAAATCACAGCCCCCTAGTGGAGCAGCCAGGATGAAGCTCCAATAGGGGACCGTGCTGTGCTGCATAAATACATGACATTTCTTATAGTCAAATGATTGTTTTAAAATATTTACAGTAACATATTAGATTATCAATGATAATCTCCCTCTGCCTAATGATGCAATGAAGGCCCATCCCACCAATAGCACTAAAATCTTATTCCTATGCAGCAGCCAGTTGTACTTAAGACTAAAATATGCACATGGCATTGATTAAATCCAGCCCTCCCACACACACTCGGTTAAATTTCTTTTGTTCTGCTTTTCAACATGTTGAATAGTTTCAGAATAACAAACTTCTCAAAGAATAAATAGATTTTTTTTTTTTATGTAACACTATCCTAAACAAATACAATGATTCAACAGAGATAGACGTAATACAAAATGAAAAATAATTAGATTTTATCTATATATTTTGCATTATTGTTTGTTGGTTGTAACCAGAAGTTAAAGCATCATGGAAAAGTTTAGGATGTTTTTCCCCGATAAACGCAGCGGTAATTTTACCTGCTCGCTTAGCGACCATATTCAGCAGCTTACTCTGCTTATGTTTTGGTAAAAAGGCAAACGGACATTTTCTTTAAGAAACCATTCCAAATGTTTATTTGACATGTCAAAGAAGGGGCACACACTCGTGAATTGAAAAACAAAACAAAAAAAAACAAAAAGAAAGGGCTTGCAATTATTGGCCAGGACTAAAACTGAAAACTTTATACTAACATTAATTAAGTTTTGGCTAAAAAGAAAATGTTTTTGTTTCCTTTTTGCTTTTATAAAGAAACTTTATGTACATTGGTTCTTTTATACAAGAGGTTCATTGGATAAATGCATCAAAAGAAAACAAACAAAACAAAAAAAAGAACCCAGTTCTGCGGTAAACTTTACAAAAAAATACATTTTTGTTTTCATTGAGAGATGTAGAAAAGGAGGCGGTCAAATATTGACCAATAATACTTCTTCCTTTTCATTATTAAGAAAAAAAGTTGTTCTAATACCTAATTTCAAAGAAAAGCAATATACAGCACAAGTATTTAAAGAAAAGAAACATTTGCAGATTCATTCAGTTGGTTTGGTAACCAGGGAGAGGGGCTGGGACTGGAAGAGGGAATGATGGGAGTGAAGAGCCGCCTGATGGAAGGGGGACGGCGGGGAGAGCATGGAGGGGTGCAGGGAGGTGAAGGGGATCGGCCGGGTGAGGATGGGTGTGCTCGACTGGCTGCCTGAAGTACCGACAGGGATGGAGATGGAGGGCTGGGAAGAGGAGGAGGAAGAGGAGGAAGAGGAGGAGGAGGATGCGGATCCAGAGGCCTTCCCAGGTACAGAGAAGTGGTGGTGCATGCGTCCCTCCGGTTTGGTGGTGAGCGACAGCGGCTGAGCCTGTTCAGAGTGAGTTGGGGCCGGGGCGGCGGGGGAGGCCAGGGCGGCAGAGGGAGTGGCCGGCGAGTCCAGCATGCTGCCGTGAGATGACGCCGGACTGTCGCACATCTTCTCCGAGGGCAAATACTGCACGCACTGTTTCTTACTCCTTATGGAGAAGTCTGCCATGTGAGGAAACAAAGCAGATAGAAAGAGGCTTAGATTATCCATCCACTTGTTTCAAAGCAGCTGACGGAGGCGAATGAGTGATTATTAAAAAAAAATAATAATAAACAAGATATGAGAGCTTTAAAACGTGACACTTCTCATATCAACTAGTCACCACATCACAACGAGGCGAGCAAAAGAGGATGTTACGGCTTATTTAGATGGTATGCTTACATGATATAAAAAAAGGAACATGAGAAAATGTACAGAAAACGTGTTAAATGAGCAGCTATTTTTGGTCATTTACAGTTACATTTCTACAAAAACATACCTGCCGCTATTAGCACTGAACCTCATAAGCTGCTTGTCGAAGCATAAAAGCAGGAAAAATGTTAGTAAGCGCAGAATTCATACCAAATTAAACCAAATGTTGGGTTTCAGGATAAACAGGAGGTTTAGCAGTGTAAAAAAAAAAAAAAACTGGCTCTCCTCTCAAATTTTTGGCAAGAAAAGAAAGAAAACAAATAAAGGCAGTCAGGAAGAAGAAAGGTCTCTTACCCTCTGGTTTTGAGTCTGGCTTGTTCTCTCTCTTCCTCTTTTTCCGCTTTCCCTGCACAGATACAACAATGCTGTTAAAAACTGTTTCTCACAGCGGAAGTAAAACCACCTCAACAACTTTGGTTCATGAGATCAAAAGTGCAAACGCTTAAATTAACCAATACAGTCATACCCGACTGAAACTGGCAGGAATTGAACTCATGTTGATACCTTCTCCTACTCAAGCGAGATCAGATTAGGGAAACGTGTTACTCACGTAGTTATCTCGTGCCGACCATCCAGGATAGAGCTGGGAGTGCAGTTGCCTTTCTTTTCTGGCCAGCTCGTAGTATTTGGCTTGCTCCTCTCTGGACAGCGAGTGCCACTGTAAACACAGGATCATTAAAAAACAATCCATGCATCACTTAGTGCAGCAGAGGAAATAAGCATCTAACAGGTTAAGCAATTTTCTCAGTCAATATACATCCAACAGGTCTCTTGTAAATATATAAATCAATTAGTTACACTTTGTTTAACACATTATTGAACAGATGAAGGAAAAAATGTGGGAAAAAGACAAAGGAAAAACAAAAAAAGCAACTGAAAGAGCTTTCTTATTACAAAGGTTTGACACAAGAAGAATGATTTCAAAGCAAGCAAAGAGCTTTTGCAAGATTGTCTTTTTTTTTTTTTGTTGGAAAACATGCTGACAGCACCAGATACAGAAGTCTTACAAAACATCTGAGGGCCCCAGTGAATACCGCTGGGGCCGTAATCTGGTAGCAGAAAGAACCACAAATGGGATTTGGAAAGAAAACATTTCTGACAGAGGAGAATAAAAATAAAAGGTTTGTCTAAAACCCAGGGGTGTATGAAACAGAGCTTTAGAAGGACCTAAGATATGCAGTTAGTCCTAAGATAACACAGGTAATGTATGAAAAAACACTAACGACACACGACTCAATTGAAGAAGATAAAACATTCTGCAGATCTTTTTTTTTTTACCTTTATTTATACAAATAACTTTATTAGGGAACTGCATGATACAAGTTAGTAATTAAATATAGAAACAATTAAATTCTACCTAAATATATTAAAAGAATATAGAAGAAACACCACAGCTACAGCACATTAAATCAATTTATGCCCTCTAACAACATGTTACCTCATCACACTGCAAACCTTGTAAATGTAAGTAAGTCAATTTTTCTTAAAATTTGTGATTTTTTTTTTCTCTTGATATAAGCAGGTAAGTGAGGCTCTTTGCCAATGGAATAAGGCAATTTACAATGGAATAAGAAAAAACAGCTCCGTTGTCTTATTTCAAGTTCATAATATCTAATTATCTCATTTTAATGGTAAAAATACTCATTCCATTGGCAGGTCATGTTATTTACCTACCCAAATTAGGGGTGAATACATTTAATTTGAGAAACTTCTACTTATTTTTAGATAGTTTTTGCAGTGCAGTCCTGACCCATCAGAGGTTTTAGAGACAACTTAAGTGAATGACATACTTAGAGGTTCAATTGCAGTTTACCACACTCTAAAAATATGTTAAAGCTTGTTTAAGGTTTGCTGCAAACATTTAAACAAGCCAGTAGGCCTAATTATTGGGATTCAAATCTTGGTATGTGCTTCCACGTCACATTAATGGAAGAGAACTAAACCAATGATGAAGTATGGAGGTGGGAATATCATAGTGTGTGTCTTTCTTTCAGGATATAGTTCTCATCAACATTCTAGAAGTTAAGAAAGGACTAAAACCTTGTATAAGAGAATCTGAAGTTGAAATGAAGGCGACTCGTTATATAAGAAAATTATCCATTGTTACACAGTCAAGGAGACTTTTATGTGGTTTCGAGGAAAGAAAATGAAGCTGCCCAGTTAACTTTTAGACTTGAATGAACTGAAACTCTATGGAAACATAACAAAAGAGATCAAACTGAACAGAGGAGATCATCAAAACCAAAGCATGTAATCAATTTGTTAATATATTGGTAATTTTAAAGCTGTCTTTAACAATAAATAAATATTTACCTACTATTATTTAAATATCACTATGAAAGAGCATCCCATAGCTGATGTGTGGATTACTTGGGAAGCTCTGATATCCATTGAGAACTTCATGTAAATAGACCCATTAGAAATCTATTTCCTCGGAGATGCTAAATGCATTTTTCCCCACAGTAGTTTTAAATTAACATTCATATCAATGCCAGTGCTTCTTACCCGTCTCCCAAGGATCTGGTTAATCGCAGCGCTTTCCTTCAGGGTGCACTCTGCCACTACCTTGGCCCTCATTTCCTTCATGTACAGCATGAAAGCGTTGAGAGGCTTCTTGATGTGAGGCTTCTTGTCCTCCTCTTTCTTGGAAGGAACAGGGGACTTCCTGCTAGTCAGAAACAGTGAAAGATTCTGTCAGCCATGTTCCTTTCGCTGGAGCGGTATCGCTTACTATTGACTTTTTTTGCCGCTTACGCATGCATGGAGGGGCTGATGTTGTCGCCGTTAGGTTCTTGCTTTATGGCTGGTGAGACGATGGCGGGATGGGGGATGCCGGTCTGGTGGAGGCTGTGCGGAGGAGGGGTCACCATGTGAGGGGAGAAACGGCTGGACACCAAGCTGGGAAGGTGACAAGAGGCAACATTTTAACAGCCTTGCTTTAACAGGGAGTCTCTGTCGACTTGACGAGAAAAGGTTCGGCTCGTTTGGCAGATTATGGCGCTGTCTTGCCCTCTGGGTAAATTTACGGAGCCCGCTGCTTCTGTCTAGACTAAATTCATACTTACAAGGAGTACCTTGCTTTCTCTTTTTTTTTTTTGTTCAAATAAAGACTTCTTCAAAAGCCCTTTTATTCACCAACGGCTGAAGGAAAGTGGAGTGAGGTGTTACCATGGTGACGGCATGGCCGTGACACCTGAAACCTTTCTCCTCACCACCTTCCAGACCGAGGAGAGTGTTCAGACAGCTTTCTGCACAGAACTCCTTAACAAAGTGGCCCTCTCCATTTTCAGCTGTTGATGCAAAGGGGCATTGCAATCGAGAAAGGGCAACATCAAGCTCATTGAGCTCGCATCATACAAATTTATGTAAAAATCGACTTTTTCATTTAGTGAGATAATATGCTGAGCAATTCACAAACATATATATTCTATCCTCAAATGTAATTAGAACAAGACAAGCTCCTTTTTTCATTGTTTAAAACAGAAGCATCAAGGTTAGAGAGTTCAATAAATGTGTAAAAAAAACTCTTCTATAAGAAAAACAAAACTTCTGCTTAAATCCATGTTTATTTACTGGATAAACAATATGTTTTCTTGTTCGTAAAAAGTCAATTATAATGATGAATGAATTTTAGACAAATTCATTTTAACAATGAATTTTAGAAAAATATAAATTTCAATAGGGAGAAAAAAAATCTGATTGATTAATAACAATGAATGTGATTCAATATATCAGTGTCAATTAAAATCTAAGAAAATAGGACAAGATTGAGGGGAAAAAAATTAGAAAAAAAAAACTTAAATACAAAAATACAAAAAAAATTAATTAAGGTTAGCCAAAAAATTCAAATATGCTTGATAAGCATAAGATTCAGATAAATAGAAGTTGAATCTTTTCAAACTGAAATTGCAACGTGCGTTAGTGATGGCTGGCTAGGCTAATAACATTCACTCTTTTGTGCAGATTAAAACAAAGTGAAGAAAACAAAAAGTTAGTTATTACCAATTTTAGAGATGTGCAAATTAAGCTCAGAGGAAATAAACAAGTAAGGGGCTATTTAAAAAGAAAAAGAGAACAGTTAACAGGAAGCAGAACATATGACACTTTTTATCCCTTCAAGATTCCTAACCTGCCTTATAGAAAATGATGGTTCTACCGAGACCCTATAGTTAAAGTAAGGATTTAAATCATATGGGGAACAGAAACAAAAACAGCTGTTTTCAGTCACTAAAGCTAAACCAGCTAACTATAAACTGCTATGGATAGTTTATAATGTCTGAGGCGTTACACTTAGTGCTGTGTTTGACTTCAGCTTCTAAAAATAATAGATGGCTGCTCATGACAGGGATGTTTGAGTTAATAATTAAAGCCTTTTAAAACCAAAGGATCTGAAACCTGTCATAAAGTTCGTCCTCTAGTAAAATGTATACAACATACAAGCTTTTTTCAATTCTACTGTTTTTTGTGAGAAGACATAATTATTGATATGTGACTGAGAGGTGTTCTGGCAAACATGAGAGGGAATTTGTTGGTAGAAACAAGTGAAAATGTCCAAATAGTCAAATCATTATCCGGATAAATCTCTGCGACATAAGAATGAGACCAGGTAGAACTGCACAAGTTATTTATCCAAGAGTTCTGATAGGTTGTTTTCTGATAGGATACTGATATTGCAGCATTGAGAATTTGTCGATACTGAGATTGACCCGATACAATATTAGCACAAATCATACCAACTGTTTTTACTTATTTTATAGTGCAGAATGTTAAAAAAGGATCGATGAAGTAATATCACTAAAACAGGGAACAAAAACAACAAGAGGTATAAAAAAACTGATTCATGTAAAATTAATCAATTAGTTGTAGGACATTCTAACAATAGCTAAGTATTTCTATTAGTATGAAAATATTTGGAGATTTTAGATGCCAGCTGATAAAATCCAATATGACTTTTTTGACTAATATTGAATCGATATTCCTATCGGATAGGGACATCCCTATCAAAGAAAACTAAATATTTCATCTCATACTATCACCGGAAGCCTCGTTACAAATGTTTCTAATTTTGAATGAGAGCCTGAGAGTTTAGTCCGATGGGACATGTGGATTTAGATAAGCTTTGATTTGTCCTAATCGATTCCCAGCCCTTTCATCTCTGCTTTACTGGTGGGTGTGTGTGTGAAGAGGCTCAGCACACCGGCCTGACCACAGAAGTTTAGCTCAGAGAGAGAAGAGAGGAGTGGAGCGCTGAATGCCAATAATGTGCTCGCTGCTTATGAAGCTGATTTTGCCTCTCTGTCAGTGTTGATGCTCACAAACCTACAATATACGGACCTGAAGCCAGAGCCTGCTCCTCATCTGTTAATGTTTCATCAAAGTAAGATTATTTAAATCTGTAAATTTTGTGGCTAAAAGTCGCCTAGCTTTTTTTCTTTTCTTTTTTTTTTTTTTTTAACAATGTGTACTCCAATGATACCAGAGTGAACAAAGAAAGTTTAAGACTACACTGCGGCCATTTCTATTGTTACAGCCTGGCAAAGAAAGCAGGGGAAATGTGATTACAGCATGTCAAAGAAGCAAAAGATATTAGATGTCCGCCCCCTCGGGAAGGTGGTCGTGTTGCCGAACATGATCCGCTCACCTGGACATGGACGCATTCATAGCCAACGTCGGATAGGGGTGACGGAATCCCCCTGGAGGGATGGAGTACATGGGCTGGCCCTGCCTGCAAGACAAGAAATGGGGAAAGAGTGAGCAAATGTGTATAGAGGATCCAACACAGCTGACAGCTAACCTAGCAGCACTAATCCTGCTCTCATCATCTCAAATCCCCTACTCTCGGAACAGGACCGTTGCAACTCATTACCAGAACTGCAGAAATGTTCAGAAATTCCACCAGATATATGAAAATAACTTCCAATATTATATGGTTCAACTGTACTTAAATAGTCCCAGAATCTATTTGGCTCCTTGTTAAGGAGCAGGGCAGTTACATGAATCAAACTCTAAAAGACTGAGAGAATAATATGTCTAACATCTCAACATGTCACTTTAACGGCTATAAAGTTTTAAAAACAAAATGTTTGATAATATTTAGCTATATTAATAATCAGCTGCTGACTAGAATTGAACAAGTCCTGACTGATCAGAACATGGAAAATATTCCTACCAGGTCGTGCTAACATCAACATATTTTGGTGTCAACACTATTAGTGTGGGAGAAAGACACAAAGCTTGTTCTGTCCTGTACAATAATGTGTAAAATATAAAGTCAGAGGAATTACAGAGATGTTAGAGGCTATTTAAAAGGACTTAAATAAGGTTAATCCAGAGTGCAAAGGAGCAAGAGAGAGCAAGACCTTCAGCAGATAACAGGAAGGCTAAATTATGTACAGGAAATGCGTTAATCAATAAGGGGGTTTATGTAAATATTCTGGATATGGAAATATTAATTCCCTTTAGAAAAGTAAATTATCTAAAAAATACCCTTAGAGGCTAATGTTTTATGAATGCTACTTTAGCTAATCTTATAAGAGTATAAACTTTGCAGCAAAAATACTTTAAGATGTTTGTAAATTCCTGAATAACAGTGACAGCTCCCTAATTTAATGTATCATGATCTCGTCTCTACTAGTATTAATAATTCATAACAGATCAGAACAAGGGGTAGCAGTTGAAGTTGCTGTTCTTATATGCCATCCTATGTTGAAGTTCATAAATAGAAATAGAGAATTACAAAATTCTAATTTCTCCAACTATAATATAGAGATAAATATTTGTGTTGTATTTCATAATATAGGACGCTTACTGTTGCATAAACCAGCTTAGAGGATGTGCAATCGAGCCAACAGCACCGGGAGACAGTGGGTAGTACGGCGAGAGCTCTGATGGATGAGGTGTTCGAGGAATACCTGCAGGTACAAAAGAAGAACAAATTATAAAACAACAAATCACATTTTCCAAGGTTCAATTACCCTATAAGTGTCCATCATATTAATACGAAGCAATTATTTTAGTGTCACACACATTTATCATGTCTCCTTAACATTCACAGATCTTTACATGATATATGCTGCTTTAACAACATTGTAGACTGCTAAATTTATATGGGACTGTTTACTTGAATGCAGAGTGTTTCATTCATGTTCTTTTTTAAGAGATAGGTCATGAGAAGTCACGCCCCTCTCACATCTCATACGTTGTGGTTTTCTCACTGCTTTAGAAGTGTGTCTTTGTCATTTACCCACATCCACTCAGAGCTGTTTCTCATCCTAACCAAACCTGTGGGAACAAAACCTGAGCAAGCGACCAGGTTCTTAAAAAAAAAAAAGAGATCTTTAAGTCGTCAATAAACTAGCCCTTAAAAAAAACAACCCTCTGAATTGTGAAGCAGCGCAGCGTGTAGGCAGATGCAGTGGAAACTCGAGGAGGATATAATAGTGGGATTAAGATGTATACATGTCTTAATAATGGGAGTAAGATCAGCCCACTCATCAGAGCCTAATTCAATCATTGCTTACTCTGATTATATGACCTCATTTTAAGCTCAGAAAAAGCTGGTTACATGGCAGAGTCGTCATTGGGTTAATATTGGAACACTGCTGTGGCTGGCTCTGTAACAGTGGTTTGCCTTTTAGACCACCGGCGCATGCCGCTTAATACAGTACACATTTCAACTCATTTAGTCAAAATTTGGAAATGAAAAATCCTGTTTATTTAAAGTTTTGGTCTAAAAATCAGAAACAGTTTAGATGTTACCTGCAGCAGATGACTCTTAATAGATACTCTGGATAAATCTAATCCTTATGTAAATGTATTTGATGGTGTTGAAGGATAAAGCTAAGAGTTAATCCGAATGAGGCCAAAATGTCAGTACAGTTTCTCTGAATGCTTTTTATTAACTGTTTTTTCAATTGAAGGGAGATTTAGTTGAATGAAATGTGATTATTATTTGCACAGGAGGCAGCAAAAACAGCAATGATCTTCCTGTCTGAAACACATACTACAAACTAAGGTTAACTTTTTGGGTCAAAACAGGTCTCAGAACATTAGATTCAGCCTGGATTTATTTCCTAGATGGTGAAACTTTAAGCCATTAATGAGGCTTATAAGTTAGAAACCAAACTCCTGAACTCTTCTTTTATGTCGACGGATCACAGGGATGATCTTACCTGTCTTTGGATCAAGGATCTCAGGTGAGAGGTGTGATGGAGGCGTGCCCGGAGAGAAGTGTTCATTGCTGTAGGTGATGAGGGGGGTCAGTGGATGGACGTGATGGGCATGCTGTACCACCGGAACTTTATTGGACTGAAACCAGAGGAATGCAGAGAAGACAGTGAGTGACGAGCTTCCAACTAGACATTAGCATTAAAATGTTTCCAATATGATGTACTGGAACCATTGGAGGTTTCTTTAACTACATGTAGCTTCCCCAACCTGTTCCACTGCCAGTCAGCTGGCTTATAAATGGCAGCTACTCTTTTTCTGTCTGACAAAATCCTCTTTAGGCAAAATCAAGGGGTTTAAAAAGTTTCCTTTTAGTGTTGGTATTTTATTTAGGAGGAAATAGAGATATTAGGGTTGTCAAAAGTATTGATACTCAAAAAAGTATTGATACTGAAACGATTCAGCCATCTAAAGTACAGATTAGAGGAAACTGCCCTTTCTGAACACTGTGTGATTGAATAATTCTACGCACTTTTCAGTTTCAGACTTTTTTTGTAACAGGTGCAGCAGCTGAGAATTATTTTTGTTTCTTAACCAGTTTGGCTAGTGTCATTGCTATGTGTGCAAAGAATAGCAAAGTAAGGAACACTTCATTTTAATTTTGTAAGTTTTTTATCAAGCTTGCTTAATATTGTGCACAGCATACAACCTTAAAATATTGTTCTTATTGTTTTTTATTTATTTCTTGTATTTTGTTAGTAATTAAGATATTTCTATTGAATTTTAGAGTCTTTGTTTTTATTCTTGTGGTATCGAAAAGGGTATTGAGTATCGAATATTTTACTTAGTATCGGTATCGAGTTGAAAAGTTTAGTATCGTGACAACCCTAAGAGATATTATAAATCAGCTACTGTTTTTAAACTATGAGCTGCGGCTTTTGTCAAGCAGCAGGCTACAGACTAGCTACTTGGGCGAATATATAATATATCATTTTATGCAGAAGAATAAATGGGTATTACATTCTGTAATAACTGTATGACAGACAGCCAGTTCCCCGCATGCTGCTGCGCATTGCCCATCAGATGCATAAAAAACAATAACCCTGTATAATAATTCTGCTATAAAAATATAAAGCTGTCATATGTGGACGCACTGTATATACTGTATATATCCCATGCAACTTTTTCTTTCTTTGGCACCTTCTCTTCTCTTTTGGACTGTTTGAGCAGATTTAATGAGAACATTTCTCCACTGTGAGATCAATAAAGACAATCAATCAAAAAATCAAAAAAGCTCCTGTAGAGTGAACAGTAGCCTATTAGACCTGAACAGAATGACAGGACTGTCTAATTACCCAATATAAAAAGCAAGATGAGTAAAAAAGTTTTTGCTCAGTTCAGTGATCCAAGATCATAATGTCTATTACGCAAATTTAACATAACTGTAACTCATTACAGTTCACAGAATTGATTCTCCCGTAGAAATAGTTATCCACTGATGCACCCTTAAAGGGTAAGAGAGACATAAAAATCATCCAAGAATTAAAATTGAACAGTAATAATAGTTAAGACATTAACAAATGAATCAACTGGTTAAGCTGTCAGAAAATGTTGATCGGTAGGTTCTTTTTTTTAGTAAAGCCAGAAACAAAAAGCTCTTTTCCCATTTCAATATAAAAATACTAGATCATGTTCCTGTAAAACCATATACTTTTATTTAATTATATCATACCATGAGAATTTGAAAGTGTCCCATGCTTGCTTCTAACAAGTTACATTCAAATGCAAAAATAGCAGAGAGTGACTCATTTATCTCTCCTTTGTTTTGCTATTTTATACTGAAAAAAAGGACAGTCCTCTTGTAACTGTAGCAAACAAAAGAAATGCGCAGATTGAAAGGGGCATTGCTTTTAAATACCCTCCTTGGAAAACATCACAGTTTATGCGTGTGACTGGCCCTGTGATGCAATCTGGCCCGGCACCAGGGAGCATTAAAAAGCCTCACAGACACATGCCAGGATCATTACGGTCATTTAGTTGAGGAGAGAACTGTTTGTTCGGTCCAAAAAGGAAAAACAACGGTGCCACCGAGTCAGAGAAGTTGCACCAGCCAGCCGCAAACAAACACAATCAGGCTAAGGTAAACTGGATCCCTATAAACAGGCGGATACATCCTCTCCCGCTGCGTCTGACTGCAATCACCACCAGGAGGGGGTTATAAACGTTACTAATGGTGGAAATCCACTTAAAATTCTGCCTTGCCTCAGATATTGCTGAGGTTTAGTGATGAAACCTGCTTTTGCTTGCAGTGAGCGTCTTTCTGAGAGAAGCACAGCTCCCCGCCGAGATCTGATCAGCATTACGGCTACGAGTAGAACGATGAAGACAATAATAATAACAAGCGTCTCTGCTTTCATTAGGCAGAGCTCAGCCTAGCAGCCATTTCCCCTGGCTGCCTGGCTGAATAGACCACTTGTTGGCTCAACTTGTCACATGGGAGGGTCAAGGGGTGGGAGGGGAGAAAGGAGTCTTGTTCCTCCAGGCTAACCTTTCTTCAATATCCTTCCCCACCCCCTTCTCAACCTCTGTCTCTCCCCAATGTGGTCTGCTGGGGAACAAGGTTTGCATTGAGGATTCTGTACTCTTCTACTTCACGCTGCTCAGGATTGTTTCAAATCTTTGGCTTTTGGTTATTGCCTTTCAAGGTCCAACTTTTAGCTTCTTTTAAATCTGAGAAGATGGGAGAGTTGGAAACATTCGCTCCTGTGAAACACGGCACTGAAAAAGTATTTCTTCTGCTTTTGAACAGGTCGTCAAACAAATTTCAACATCAGGCAAAGATAACTCGAGTAAATAAATAAAAAAAACTTTTCATTGTTGACAACAGTGGGCTTGAAAATCTTTAAGAAATACATCAAGCTCTGGTCTAAAAACAGTAGGAATAAGTGGAAATTGAATACAACATTAAAAGCACTGCAGGCTGCACTAGTCTGAGCTGAAATATCCTAGAAGGCATAAATTTTATTTTTTATTAAAGTAACGAGTCATTCTACAAAAAGATTGTGGTACTGTAAATGGTCTGAAACTGTTTTGCCGCTTTAGGACTTTTAGAACACTCTTCCTTCTAGCAGGAAACCCTTAAGAAACATTAAACTCATCCCGTTTATGCAGCAGGATATATAACTGCATAAAAACACCAGCAGGTTCATTTCTTAAAGATTCAAATAAACACACCTAGTTAAAGTAGGACTTAAAACCAGTCTGGATACTTTGGTGTGACCTTTAAAAATACATTAAACACCCCAAAATCCTCAGGTTTGGTTATATGAAAGCAGCACTTGGAGAAGAGTGTGCAAAAGTTCCTTTATAGAAATGTAAAAGAATCATTGCAAGAGTTATTGCAAACTCTTGATGGCAGCTGTTGCCACCAAAAGTGACTCAACCAGAGGTTGATTTAAGGGGGAAATCACATTGTCTATTTAAATTGGTGCAGATAGATATTTTCATTTAATTGATGAACACTTTGGTTGATCAAACAAAGTGCTCGGAAAATACAACAAAGAACATCCAAAAACATTCATATAGAAGAAACTGAATATGAAGATTCCTCTGCTCAGGAATATATTTTTTATCCCTTAAAGACTTTGAGGCTATAAGGTAAAAAAACAAGGTGCTCAGATCCAGGACTTGATAAAGTCCACCACCAGGAATAGAGTTAACTTACTGGATTAAAACGTCATGTATATTTAAGTTATCTCTGTTGTTCCACTTCATGTACAATACGCTCAAATTTTCCCTGTGTTGCAAGGCGTTGTCTGAGACCTCCAGACCAATGTGCCAACACATTTTGGGAACCAGTTCAGTGAGAATTTCAAATGATGTTCATTAATAATTCATATCTTGGAATACATGAATCGTTGCACTCTAAACACAAGTTTTTAAGGCAATAGTTTCAGCTCTGGGTTGACTTTTGGCACGGCGGTCATAGGAAATATAGATAAAACCTGTTTTAAAGTCTGTCAGGCTTTAGACAAAGATGGCATTTTAACACTTTCAGGGTTGAATTCTATGTAAATCAATCAATATTGAGCAATTACGATTTCTAAAACCTCTTAAAGTGTGATTTATGACTTACGGAGAGTGAAAAACTGCACTAAATTCCACAACCACAAAGCATCAATGCCTTCTTTGACTTAGTTTCTACACTAAGGTTATATTCCTTTAGCCCATGACAGATTCATATGTCTGGTTTCACAATCCTCATGGAAAGCTTAATCTAAAAACCACAAGGAACATAAACCATGTTTCAAATGTAAACATCAACACGATAGAGCGGATACTAGATGCTATCAGCACTCACAGATGGAAATCACGCTCTTTACACAGACATGCTTGTTGCAAGTAGGACATAAATCTTAGTTAAAGAAGCAGACAGACTCAGGCCAGCTCTTAGGGAGTGACCTGACATGGATGCAGACACAAAAAAGGGGAAAAACACAGCAGGTAGCTGCTAAGAAAGTGTAGGGAGAGACGTTTGTCTCCTCTGAGGGTTTAAAGCTAAAAATGGCCAAGGTGGCAGTACCTTACTCGACTGTCCAACTTGGACCAAAGCTAAGAAAAGCAGAGTCCTTGGTCAAATGTGGGTGGAGGGGTGGATTTCATTCAAGCAAACATGTTTTTGGATCCTGAACATCTGAATTGAATTACTAGGCAAACAGCCGACGGGGAAGAGAGCTTAGAACAAACTGAATAACCCCACAGCTTTGTGTGTCTTTATGCGCGGCGATTCTGGGTGGGAGGCTCAGAGGCCTTTCAAAACTCCAGGAAAGACAGGGTGAAAAGAATGCCTGGCATGCTGAGAAATCCAAGCCCTGTTTGTCAACGCCAACAGGAAGCGGACGTGAGGGGAGACTGACCGTGTCATATGTCTTTAAAATCAACCTCTCCGAAAAACTCTGCTATTCATCACAGCCAACGTGTGCTTTACGTGCTGCTCATCGCCTCTGAAAAGGTCAGTGGCATTATAATTCTAGGTTAGAATAATACAGCCCAGAGCAGCGTCAGGTTACTGCAGTGAAAATCCCCCAGAGGTAATAAAACAAATTAGAAGAGGTAGGAAAATGAGACCATTTTATTTGGGG